TTTTTTTTTTTTTTTTTTTTTTTTTTTTTTTTTGCAGTTTGAGAATTGTTTTGAATGTGCAGTTGGAAACTTTAAGTAGGTCTCGTACAAGTTCCGGCATCACCGTTGGAAAGGCGTTGATTTTTTTCTCTAATTTTTCTTTTTTATTTTTTGATTTTCTTTATTTACTGCCACTATTTGCTCTGCTTCGGTTTGCTATTCCGCTACTCTTTTTTTGATCAGGTTTGCAGAAGAGATTCTGGATTGGTTTTTTGCTTTCTTTTACATTTCCTACGCGAGTCTTGGTTGGTTTAACTATACTTAGTGGATGTTAAAATAATATTGGTTATTTTCACGTTTTTTCTGAGACATTCGTTTGGTATTAATGCTGTTCGATCGAATTGATGTGTGACAAACAGTACTAGTTCATGTGTCGACAGTTTTATCTGAATAGGTTTCCCATGATATTTTGATCTACAGCAGAATTATTGGTGAAAACGCGCGTAAGGTTGGCGCATTGCTTTGTGGCCGTATTCATCAAGATTTTCACTGTAATTTCAGGATGATCAAAGGAAATTTGAAAACATCTGGGTTGTTTCTATTGCTATTATCCTGCCGGCTGGTATCAATTACTCTACGTCACAATAGGTGACTGTATTTTGGTATTTTGATATATTTTTTTAAAATTTTGTAGGAAGGGAAAGTTTATTAAACAAGGAACAAATTTGGTCAGCAATAATATTCTACAAGTGTTTATTGCTTTTGCTTTTAGGACTTTTTTTTCTTGCTGAATGAAGTAGAAAGCAAGCAAAGAGGTTTTTCGCCGTAAGAAGGTCTGATGGATTTTTTTTATATGGGTAGAAGAGTTTTTAATGGAAATTTTTGTCTGTTCTTTTAGCGAGATGTAAAATATTGAGTTGAAAAAGAAAAGATGTTTTTTTTTTTTGTTTTTTATTTTTTTTATTTTTTTTTAATTTTTGTGTTGCTGAGAAGTGTTGTGTAAAACCCGTTTTCGTTAAATGATCTTAGGTATAGAATAGGAAGAGAGGAGGGTTTGAAACGTTTTATAGATTGTTGCAAGACAGCCTTAATACCTTCTTGATTTTCGTGGCATGTAGGTAGTTTTCATTCCCAGTAAATTTTTTTGCTTTTTTTTCATGGGAAGGGGGGATATTTTGTTTCTATCGATTAAAACTTTTTTCATCAGCTAGTGTTTATTTCATTGTTTCAGCTGTTAAATGGTGTTGGTTGTTAGTGCTTATATGTTTTTATGCTTGTGCATTTTATATGCAGCTTGATCATAAAACACTTTTGGGGAGAGGCAGGGAAGAGTAATATTCAGTTTTGGCTCATTGGATACATAATATATTACTTTTCGGGTAACCACTAAAAGTCGAGATTTCTCCTGCTCTCAAGAACTCCAATTGTCTTGTTGATTCGTGTTTTTACTTTGTCTTATCGCCATGTTTTTGTGTGTTACGAATTATGACGGTGTGCAGGAGCGTGTATTTTTGAGATGAAGCTTATTTTTTAAGGTCTCATTGGCGAGCTGACGTCTGCTCTAAAGAGTAACGCATTTTTTTGGCCTAAGAAACGAAGAAATTACCTCTTTTTTAAAGTTGGTTTTCTTTCCAAAAATTTTTCTGTGTTTTTTGTTCAAAGCAGGAAGATGCACAGCTGTCTAGACATTATTTCTTCATTATGATTCATAAAGGTTTACAGGTAAGAAACGTTGTTGTTAACGAACTTTTGCTTAGCACATAGGTTAACTGGTGCTGGAAATACTTCCATTTATTCGTTTTTGCGTGTCATTTTTTTAATCGCCTGAAAGCTCTTTTATACTATGTAAATACCATCTGCTATAGTCCCTTATTTTTTGAATGAGTTAACGGATGATTTGTTGGTTATAAAACTATGAATAGTTGCCTTTTTTGGTTTTTTTTTTAATGAACAGCTGCTATGTATAACTAGATTTTATGTGTTAGGTATTATCCGTAATTGGAAATTACCAATTTTTTCTGCTTAAATAGCGATAAATTTTCACCTCAGTAATTGGTACTAGATTATTTTAGCGTAAATTTTGTAGGTTAAAACTAGTAGCAAAGATTTTTCGACGTGATAGAGAAGCCTAGAAGTTTTTTTCGAAGCTTTGGTATACGTTAAATTAAGGATTCCCTAGATCAGATTTCATGTAAGGAGCAATCTGGTGGCGGGGTTGCGCTTTGTCGTGATGTGTATCTTTTTTCACGCACAGAGTAAATCTGCGGAGGTTTTCTGTCGTGCAGTTGTTTATGGAGGTAAGCTGCTCTTCTCACATAATAAGTCAGTAAAATACTCTGAGTTGAAGTACCTGGTTTGGTAGCAGCAGGCTCTTAAAAAAGCCACAATGGTTACCTGCATTGTTATTTATCAGGAATCTCCTTTAGCCAAAAAATTTTTATTTATGGAATATACTGCTTGGGGTGTAGTATATACGTCATCAGCCGAAGATTTTCGAGTAGGCAAGAATATGATTTGGACTGAGTTTCGGGAATCAAAGCTGTTCAATATGTATGTTTTTTTCAAGTCGAGGATGGGAAAGAAGTGAAACAGAAGGATGAACAGGTGGTCTTCTGTTTTTTGTTCTCTTCTTCCAACTATACTTTGAAATTATATTAGTAACAGGGTAAAAGTGAAGTTAACAACAAACTCTTATTTTATTTGTGTTGGGCAGTTTTGTTTCTTATGTTTGAAAGTTCCAAATCTGAAAGCATTCAAAGTAGATTTTAGGTGTAGTCTGTTTCGCTTTAAGATAATATTAACTGTTACGATTAAATACACGGTGTTAACGTTACTAGGAGCTGCTTAGTCTTCGTTTCCTGACTTTCATACTTCAATAGTAACTTTTTATATTATCAATTTATTTGTCGACGCTATTGGTCTGTGACATTTTCTAATCAGCTTAAGTAGTATGAGTTTGAGTGCCGCAACCAGGATTTCAAATAGATTGTTTAGGCTCACGATTAACTCTGTTCATCAGGATAATTAGTGGTAAGTTCAACAGTGAAAGACAATTTTCTGATTACCAGATGTTAGAAAACTCCACTTTTGAGAGTCGGTGAGTTCTTCAAAAGCCTTCATTTCTTCATCCTTTGTCATGAAATGATTTCTGCTCGGGAAAAGGTTCAGGTGCTGGGAAAAATTGAACTCTGTGAAAGTTACTGGCGGATAAATAGGGTAAATCGTAGTTCGACACTTCAATTTTTGTAGCTTATGAACCGCAGTGACTAGCGATTTCACACAACAACACCTGGTTTAAAATTTAAAAATTTCACTTATTTGATCCTGTGAGGTCCTAACTTTATAAAGGTTATTACAGTTTTCAGACACTGTCTTCGAACCACCAGGCTGTTTCTAGAGCAGTAGTAAGTTATTTTTTATGAAGTCCGGACAGATAAGGCGTACATTTATCTTATAAAATCCACCTTTTTTTTTTGTTGCGTATTGCCGAGGAGTTTTTATCTGTAATAAAATTCGTAAGTAATGGTTTGTCAGATCACCGTAGGTATTTTAAGTTCCCCTCTCTCGTGCAACTAGTGAAGGTGACTCAAAACCAGTGTGGAGGAAAAACCAGACTTGCATGGGAAATCCCGACTAAGTTGGCTTGCGTTTACTGCAACCACTGTTCTAAACATTCACCACTGACTTTACCTTTTGGTTCATCCTTGAGGATTCTTATTTTTACTCACAATTGTGTAAATGCTTTTTTTTTGAACAATTGCAGGATTTTTGTTACTGGGCCAACTTGCTCTCTTGTTGAAATTCTTTAACCTTGAATTTCTTCCATTGTTGACAGTATTCCTATACAATAAAATTAATTTTGTTCAGGGTTCTCCATGAACTTTACAATTTCTGTGAGGACTGAAAATTCTTAATTTCAGGATTAAGATCGCTTCTAAGATTGAGCTCAGTGTTTTACGAGCTCAGTGTTTTGGAAGTTGGAGGCGGAGTTATCTCAATGCTTCCCTTTTATTGGCTAGATGAGGGGCTTTTAGGTTATTTGCTATTATCTGTCAGAAGTGTTTGGCTTTGAGGTTCTTGTATTTATACTCAGTTTATACTGAAATACTCTGGGTTCTTGCCTCAGGTGCTTAATTGTTCTTCTTCGTTTTAAGTTTTTAATTCTTGGAATTACTAGAGGATACTTCTTGCCAGTTATTCACTTGATTAGATATTCATGCAGATGAAGCGTGGAGGTAAAACTCAATGCATTTCACTTTAAACTTTGTGTGACGTTCTCCAGTTTGTTATATTTCTGTATTTTAGTTGTTTTGTTCTTTAACGAGGTGCTGCTGAGTTTTTTTGAGAGTGTTAGCCCACTGGAAGTTCACTCTAGTGATTTACAAATGCAGTTGTTTTTGTGTCCAAAGTATTTGTGGTCGGTTGTCGGCGTCTATAGAAAACTATTTTAAAAAACCGTCACGCGAGCTTCACTTTTTCCAGGTAATTTTTTGGAAGAAGCATGTCTATATCTACTATCCGTCGCCAAGTGAAGAACGTGGCTTATAATTTTTCAGATGCTCAGGTAAAAGTACGTGAAGCTACGAGGTTGGTTTAATACGTTTCTTTTTTTTAACGTTTTACGTTTTTTAACACGTTCTTTAGAACCATTTTTTTCAGATTTTTTATGTTGTACTATTTAGGAAATCTTAATCTATTTAATAGTCATGTAAAGGAATAGAAAGAGATTGATTTGCATTTTTATGGTATTGAAGAACGTCTACTGAAAAGATATGATTGACATCAACTATATTAATGAAAAAGATTGTGTCGGGATTTGAGATAAATTGTCTGATTTTTGGCCTTTTGGCCTATTAAGTTCTTGAGTGTTATTTTTGGATCTAGAAGTCGTAAAAACAACCCACTTTTTTTGTTATTATATTGTTATCTTTAGTAATGATCCGTGGGGGCCATCGACAGCGCTGATGTCAGAAATTGCTGAGCTAACTCACAATCCTATGTCATTTACTGAAATAATGTCAATGCTTTGGAAAAGGCTCAATGATCATGGCAAAAACTGGCGTCATGTTTACAAGAGTCTTGTGCTTCTTGATTACCTCATTAAGGTAAATGATGATGGTTTTTCTTTTTCTTTTGATTATACATTAAAAAGTTTGAGCTGCGGTGCAGCTAAACCATGCTTTGGGTGGCATGAGAATTTTTTAAACCTTCAAGCAGGGCTCTCTTTATTGTTCTTCTGTTTCTTTCATCCGCATTAGTATATTCGAATTTTGATTAGGTGTTTTAATTTCCGAAATAGACTTTTCTGACTGTTAGATACATCAGTACAGTAATGCTGATTAGGATTTATTGGAGAAATTAATAGATTGCTGTCCAAAAAATGAGAAGTTCTCAGTGTGTCATTTCAACAATGTAAGCTGTTGAGTGTGTGCTCTTTGGTCTTGGAGTCAGGCTTTAACCCTGGTTTTTCAATTGCAGTGTGGTAGCGAAAAAGTGGCACAACAGTGCAGAGAAAATATTTATTCGATAGAAACTTTAAAGGACTTCCAGCACTTTGAGGATAATCGCGATCACGGAATGAATGTGAGACAGAAGGCCAAGCAGATGGTAGCTTTGCTTTATGATGAGGAACGCCTCAAAAATGAGCGCACTAGGTTTATGATGACAAGAAAAAAGTTTATGTCAGGCTCAGCAGTTTCTTCCAATGGTATTGTTAGACACTCACGCAAGGCAGATCCAGGGCCAGTACTGGGCATGTTGCTTAATTTTATTTCGTTTATTGTAGGAGATGGCTAACTTTTTTTTTGTTTATAGCTTGCTCAACATAATTATTGTCACTAAAACACTGTCACGTCTATTTTCAACACTTTATTGGTACTTCTCAGATCGGCTCAGCTAATTATTATTTTGAAGCTGGGTTTTTCCGCTGAGGCAGTTAATTTACCCAGTATAATCTAGCCGTTCTGAATTTCTATTATCTAATTTGTGTATTTATGACTAATATTATGTGGTAAAAATTTTGCAGATCCTGAACTAGAGGAGGCGAGACCTTCTAACGCTGGAGAGGAAGAAATGCAGCTGCAGATTGCCCTTGCGTTATCTAAAGAGGAAAG